GGGGAGAGAAGAGCCAACTTTGTGATTCCTAGGGAGCCTGAACCTTTCAACCCCACTGGATCTAGGTGAGTGACGTGGCTCTCGGGGGACGTGGGGTGGTTGCCGGAGAAACCAACCATGCGATTACGCGGCTGGAACCTTTTGCAACTTCTGAAACAGGGCTACACATGGAATTCATCACCAGTGACCGACGGTTAAATTGATCATGCTGAGGTAGGGGAACCTCCATTAATCCCTAAGTGACAAGGTTCCAGAGAGCATTTGGGGGGCAAATGCTTCCACATACCTACAGCCAGGTGTGTGTGTGTGGGGGGGGTCCTGCACTAGGGACCTCCGTGGGCGTGGCCCCGTGCACCTCCGGATCTGGCTGTTCTCTCGTAGCCTTTGTGATCACGTGCTCAATGTCAGCAGAGAGAGCCCTGAGTTCCCCGGGCAAGTGTGAGGAGGAGTGGGGGAGCCTGAGAGCCAGTCACAGTGTGGGCATCGGAGCAGGAACAGCCTGAGGGAACTGAGCCCTCCGCCTGTGGGCTCTGCGGTCACTCCAGGTCACTAAGTCAGAAGTCAAGTGAACTCTCAGACCGCCAGTTTTGTCTAGAAAGTTGAAGAACTGGTGTTGGAAGGAACAAGGCCCCACACAGTTGGCGTCAAGGGTTGTGAGCCCAGCAACTGGCTTTCCCTTATATTTACTGTCCCCAGGGCCACAGGGCCAGGCTGCCCGGCCTGCCACCTGGACACTGTCCTCGAGCCATTATACAGATAACATTGTTGTATTCCTCCCAAACAAGTTCTTTGATCCTGGCTGTGAGGTCAGTGACTCAGGACCAAAGTGGACAATGGAAGGTAGGGGGTTGGGGACTGGGGAAGAACAGAGAAAAACCCAAGTGGACACGAGCAACCAACCACAGAGACAGTTTAAGTCAGAAGTTAGAAGAATCCTAGGGTTCAGACCCCTTTTTTAGCACATAAGAGACCAGGCCCAAGCACCCTCCTCCCTCAGACCCAGGGTCCAGGCCCAGCC